GCCAAGGCTCCTGTCTGAGGACCAGAAGCAGTTCGGCAGTTTTTGGCCTCAAACACTATGGCCGTCATCCCGCACCCTCCTTATTCGCCGGATTTAGCTCCGTGTGACTTTTTCCTCTTCCCAAAGATGAAAATTCAGCTAAAGGGAAGGAGATTTGAGACGATAGGAGAGATTCAGGCAGAATCGCAGATGGTGCTTGACAGGCTGACAAAGAAAGATTTCCAGGGATGCTTCCAGGCTTGGCAGCGGCGCTGGGATCGTTGTGTTCACTCCCAGGGGAACTACTTCGAGGGTGATGGATGAATTTAATACCTGAGATAAGTGTACGGGTTTTTATACGCGCAGTCTGGAAATTTTCCGACCGCACCTCGTACCTCTACGCTGCTTTCAGAAGATGGATTATAGAGAGGTGGCACATTTTCCATGTGTCTCGTACTGTACATCACACAGGGCCGAAATTTAAAAAAAAACTGTGGCTGCTGGGTCAATTAAAACTTATTTGAAGCCGCAAAATGGATCGGATATCCTTTTTCAGAATTTCGTCGGCCGCTGTATAAAGAACAATAACAACACGTTAATTAAAGCCTGAAGGCACCTACGTGGAAAAAAAAAATCAATCTATGGATAATTTCAGTTCACGTGTTTCGGCCACTAAGCCATGGGATTATGTTTTCTGTAGCGCGCCTATCCTGACAGACGATTAAGTACATTGGTCAACTCATCTGCGTTCGGGGAGAAGCGTTTTGAAACACGGTCATTTCATATTTGCCGTATTTTGTTTATAGACAACCCACAACAAGAGGTTCGAGTTATATTCGGAAATCTTTATAAAAATATGCAAGTTTTCGGTAATACGCGATCTAAACCATGCTTCAACTCCCACCTTGAATTTCCTAACCCAAATGCAAACGTATCCTTCCGCCATGGTACCATTTCCGTATAACACGTGGCCTAATCAGAACAACAAGTTATATAACTAACACGGAAATAAATCCTCCATATTAAAATCGTTTGCTGATGTTCGTAAGGCCTTAAGCAATGCTTATTCTAAGTAGCGCCGAATAAGATAACAACATACAGACTGACAACAAAATTTCTGGACACGGGAAGGATAGATGTCTGTCTTCAAAAAGTTGGTGGGCATTCTCTGCACCTGCTGTTAAGTCCTTCGTGACAAATAAAAACCTAGTTTAAAAATACTCTTGCAGTTGGGGTTGCGTTTAAAAGGAGCATTCGGCATAAAACGCCTACCGACGCTGGGAAGAGAGGGCTGTCGAGTCGACGAATTCCAAAAACGCGCTAGGGGAACGACTCGGGTAGTGAAGATCCTCTCTTTACCGTTCATGGCATCGCTT